GTGTTTTATGGCAGGTTTTGGCTTTGCAGGTTCTTACGTTGCTGCCAAGTTAATTTTAGAACTTTAGTTGCCATGACTACTGCAAAGTATTTCTTAGTTCTCCACTTATTTGCTCAGTTTGCTGCTTTTCTTTTCTTTGTGTGTGTGTGAAGTGCATGGAGTAATTATCCTACCCTGCAGAAGATAAAAAAGGATGGCATGTGAGAGGTGAGGCTCTTGATCTTCAGGCTGACTCAGCTGCTCTTTTAGAACAGCTGCAAAGACTTGAAAGCGCAGCTCTTGTAGCACGTGGTCAGGATGAGGATTTAAGTCTGGGGAGGAAGGCACTGGTAATGCACTCGTTCTGGTGCACTGAATGAGACATGCTGGCACTGCTGTTAATTCTGCTGACTCTTACTGTCCTTAGGTTTATCTGTGTCTTGCTGGCTACTTACATAACTATATATAGTTCCAAGTCTTATGCTTAGCTTTACATTCTTGGGAACAATAACCATTGTTTTGCTCAGAGCCTTCAAAGTGCATTATACAGAGAAATTCTGTTTCATTGCTCAGAGCTCAAGTTGTTACACTAATACCAACAGTGATGTAAAAAAAAAAATATATATATATATCTATGTACAGCTAACAAGCTCTTCATATCAAGAGGTCCTGCTGTGTTTATGTAGGCAAGGTCTTTACTGAATTTCCAGTCATCTGAAAGAATAGGTAAAGACAGAGCATCCAGTAATATTTAAGACTTCTGATTGATATTTGAAACACTTAGACTTTTCAGGAAAATGCAGTTCTTGTCAGTACAAAAGAGCATTGGAGAATGTCCGAGCATGTGAGAACATCACTATCTAGTTTTCACGTGGGGATAGCCAGGCAAGGAGCCAGGCAGAGGTGGAGAAAATCATCTGATGAGCAACTTCAAGAGCTGGGAATAGATCCACCCATTGCTCCAATTTCTTAGGTCAAGAGCTGTTCTGTTTGCTGTGGTTCTGGTCCGTGGGCATTAGGGACACTTGTGATTAGCAGGGAGTTAAACACAGGATAACCTTGGTGCCATTTGAAGCCAGGACATCTGCCTATTGTCTATCTTTGTCTGTGAAGCCATCACTGCTATAGACATACCTGGAAGGAACTTCATCCTTGTGCCTTCCCAGAAATCTTACCCATTTACCAAGTACTTGTTAAGCGAAGGTGTAATCATATTGTATCCCTTGGGCCAATTCCCATCGATAAGGTCTGTTTAGTATGTGTAACACCTCCATTAGTGAATCTCCCTTCTGTGCCTGGAACAGAGAAAGCCATAGCAGGGCAAAAACATGCTTTGAATGCAGCTGGAAACAAATCCTTGCCTCTGGTGTCTATGGGAACTGTGAAAGTGTTCAGGAAGGGAACAATGGTAACCTAGCATGAGACTTCATGAGGTCAAGGTGCTGTGTTGTCTGAGAGAGGTTTTGTTTGTAGCACTGAGAAGGGCAATAGGGAAAAAAGATAACCCAGTTACAAAAACATCACTAGAATAAAGAACATTCTGAGAGTTCAGTGCACAAAATCTATTTGAGAGTTGTTTTAGTGCCACATAAAATCATCAAGGATGAAGAATTTTTTAAGAGTTTTGGAGACTTAGCTGGGTGCCCTAGGAACTCCAAACACAGAAAGTAAATAATGTGCAGAGGCTCTGTCTGTCTGCATTTGATTTTTGTTGTCTTTAACCTTCCAAGCTGTAGCTTTGCACTTTAACCAGTTGGAATTTAAATGTGTTGTTACAGTAGCATCTTTGTTGGAGATGGACCGTGACTCGTGCTCATTAAGGCTACAGATGTCTGCTCAGATTATGTATTTCAAAAGCTTTTTCTCCAATGAACTGTGAAAAGCCAGGCTTGAGCAGAGGATTTGTGAAAGATAAAATAATAGCCTCTCATCCCTATGTCTGGCAGACTTAATGCAGTTACTCTCAGATCTTTTTTAAACTTTGAGACAGCAAATTTGTTCACAGTCAATAAAATAGACCTCTGAGCACAACCTGCTATGTTTCCTTTATCAGTATTTTCCTAAATTATTCACAAGGCTTTTTACACTCCAAAAAGCTCTAATCTGTGAATTCAGCATTTCCCAGATACTAGGGTTTAATAGGCATAAGTGGCATTGATAAACTGTTTATATGTGGCATGATAGAAAATGGATCTTCTTAAGGGGAAAAAAAGCACAAAATAATAAATGCTCCATGAATTTAAATTAAATTTGCTTGCCCACTCACTCTTTTTCATAAATTTGCACTTAGTAGTAGAGCAGGCAGAACTTTTTAAACCTTCCTGGATAATGTCTGCTTCTCCTGGGAGAGGATAACTGAATTACCAAGAAATTCAGTTCAGTGACTTCTGTGATGTGTAAACATTTGCTGAAAGTTATTAGAGCAGAGCTAAAGAGTCATGGATTTTGTTTCCTTTAGTAGTCGTGCATGTCCAACTGAGAGGTTTCAGGTGTTCTCTATATCTCACCTTCTCCCTCTTACATCGAGTGCAAAATGGATAAGAGGTTCATCAGGCAGTCTCAGCTCAGTACCCCTCATTCCCTTCCAAACCTCTGAATATTCATCAGGCTCTACCAAAAAAACCCAGAATGTTATCAAGGAGTTCTAAAAAGTTACTTATTTCAATATGATCAGGTATATAGGAAGACAAAGCAAAAACTTGATGTAAAATTCTCCTGTATGCCAAACTGCCTCATTAGCCACAGTAATCCCAAATCTCCAGAGCAGTATGTTAACTGCAAAGTTATCCCAAATCTCTGCAAAATGTGTCTGTGGTTGTATGGAAAGAATTGTAAAACCAGATAAGAGATGTTTTATTTCACCCTGTTCTAAAGCTGGTCATCAGATCCCATCTGACTTTTGACAAAGCAGTTTTTCTTCAGCAGTCTAGTTAACTTGTTTGGATTTCTAGAACTCGTTCTTGTAGGATCTAGAAGGTGCTATCCTAAACAGGTGGATAACTTGAAAATTTCGGGAGAAAAGTTGATGGGTAGTTCACTTCTCATTTTTCTTCCCTTTTTGTAAGATGGAGATCATACAGGTAAGAGAGTGCTGCTGCAGAATGACCCCGTGGTAACTAATTAGGTCTCATCAGGTCTGCAAAGGCATCCTGTTTTCAGCTTTGTGCCAATGCACTGTAACCAGTGAGCCAGCTTTACCGGGATGTCATAATAGATTTACCCTCCTTGCTCTTGCTGCAGGTAGTAGTATTCATCCATGGGACAGTCCTTACAAAGAAACTTCTTGATGTTTGCATAAAAATGATCTGCTTGTCATTATATTCCCTGCACTGGCCCTTGTCTGTGAGACATGACATGAATTCATTTCTCATCTGTTGAATTTGGGGAGTGCATTGAAGGAGCCAGAGTAATATGTGATGAGCTGTAATTAAAATTACTAATGCATGTCAGTTCCTTTCCTTCCTTCTGCTTTCATTTACATTCCTCATGCAGACTTGGTTCACTTTGCTGAGTGAGCCGGAGACCAAATGTGGACTGGAAACAGTGATTTCTGCTTTTTCTAGCACAGTTACACAGGGAAATGAAGTTAGCAAAGATCCTCCCTGAGGTGTTACACCAAGTATCAGGAAAAGTCTGGTTTGCAGCTGGCCTGCAAAGCTCTGCTCTGTGGTTGTAGTGGCATCATCAGTGGAACAGCTCTGTCTGAATGGTAGTTTTCATAGTTGGTAGCAGGGCCAATAATCACAAAATAGTTTGGATTGGAATGAACCATGAACACCATATTGTTCCAACCCCCTGCTGTGAGCAGGGACACTTCCCACTAGACCACGTTGCTCAAAGCCCCATCCAGCCTGGCCTTGAACACTTCCAGGCATGGAGCATCCACAGCTTCTCTGAGCAACCTGTTCCAGTGCCTCACTACTCTCACAGTGAAGAAATTATGTTTTTCTTTCTTCTGATACAGTCTTTTTTTCCCCCATCTCATCTCTTATTATGAAAGCATCTATGCTTTAAAATGGAGATGTTTAAAGGATTAGCCATTTTATGTTGCATTATCTTACTGACAAATGCAGAAGCTATTTTTAGTGATGCTGGAAGTTGTGGTTTGGTGTTTAACCATGGAAGTAAACCACCAAAATCAAATATTGAGAGAGATATCTAAAGCATCTTGATGAAAACAATGGGTGCTTGAGTAAAGGTCTTCCATTATGCTGGGCACAGCCAGTGTATATTTCATTAGCTGTTGTTAGAGAAGTGTGTTAGTGGCTCTGTTGCAATTCTGAATGACTGAAAAGCAGTTTTGCTTGATAAGGAATAGAAAGGAAAATCACATGCCAAGACTTACTGTGCCAGCTTTCTGCAGCAGGAAATTAAGAATTTGGATGGATCATGCTCTTGTAATTGTGTGGATTTGGGGTTCTGTTTGTTTGGTTTGGTTCAGTTTTTACTCAGGCTCATATTTTTCTTGAGGTAGATGAATGTCAGAATAGCCTGTTTGAGGCTGTAAGGAATTACAGGCTGCACAGAAGGATAGATAAATTCCTGCCCAAAAATATATTGCTCAATGGCTGCATGATCTTGTGAACATGGGGCTTAAATGGTGTCAGGGCTAAGTGTTGCACCTTCTACATCTCTGATTCTAGTGAGCTTTGCCAGGTGCAGCTGAGGTACTGTGGTTATGGCTTGGAACTGGGTGTCTCACCTCTGCAAACAAAAGCTATGACTGTTAGGTAGGGGTGGGGGAGATGCTCTCATGATAATGCTAATGCTTCCCACTACAGTGTGTATTTTCCTCTCTCAGCTTGTCTCTCCTTAGTAGTTTGTGTGCTGGCACTCCTGCAGGTGAGGAAGGACTGAGGGATACTCTGCCAATCTCCAATTTGCATGCATGTGCTTTTAATAAGCTCATTTTTCAGAATCTGAAGGAAAAAGGAAAACTTTATTTTGTCACACAGCGTAGTCCACAAAAGCATTTTTAAATTGAAACCAATGCCAGGCTTCCTTTTCCTTCTGTCTTGCAGAGGCAGGGAGCGGCCAAGATTACGTGACCTCGGAAAATCAGCTGCTTTACTACCCGAGCATCACCTACGCCATCATTGGCAGCTCTGTCATCTTCGTCCTCGTGGTGGCTTTCCTCGCCCTGGTGCTGCACCACCAGCGCAAGCGCAACAACCTGATGGCGCTGCCGGTGCATCGCCTGCAGCATCCCGTGCTGCTCTCCCGCCTCGTGGTGCTCGACCACCCGCACCACTGCAGCGTCACCTACAACGTCAACAACGGCGTGCAGTACGTGGCCGGCCAGCCCTACCGCGGCCCCGTGGAGCTGGACTCGCCCCCGTCCTATTCCGAGGCCGTGCTCGACCAAAGGTACGGACGGGAGCTCCGGAGTGTGGGGCTGCGTGCTGGGCTTTGCGCCGCTTAGCAGGGCTTTGTCATCGGCCTCGTCTGTGTTCCCTCTGAGCCAGGAGTGTTTAGAAAGGTGATTGAGGCAATTCTCGTGTTCACACTTGGATATTTATTATATCTTGTCAAAGAATTACAGAACGTACGACAGCACCTCCAGCTCCTTGCTACAAGTGGGAAAAATGGCTCCAGCTGAGCCTGCTTCAAGGCCTTTTAAAGCTAAACAAACCAATAGAACTTTTACACCCATATTATTTATTCTTTTAACCTAATAATAATAGATTCCCACGACCCTTAGAGTGACATTAGACTGACCAACAAGAGGTTACTACCTAAGTTCCGTGAAGAAGAAGAAAGAAGAAGATGAACAAAGAAAAAGACACCACCCAGAATTCTCCATCTTGTCCCATATCCATCACTATACTATAAAACCCTAAAATTTAAAACCCATCACTCAGTGAAAATACACACATCTAACCCACTACACATTTGTGATTTCTGGCTCATTAAGCCTTCTCCAAGGTTTCAGGTCCAGAGCAGTGTTTTTCCAAGGGGCCTGTGTCTGGAAGCACAGAAAGCTCAAAAACTCCAGATTCCTGATATCTAACACTTCTGGGCTCACCAAAGCATCCCTCTGCTTGGTTGCAGCTCTGGTAATCTGTGCTGCTGCTCTCCACTTACTGCTGCTTTTGACACAAGTCCAGTGCTGTGCTTCTGTCGCCTGCACAGGGTTCAGTTTCAGTAAATCTGAGCTTCTTCTGTACATGGAAAGGTCCTCAAGTCCATTTACTGTTAGTGGCATTAAAAGGGATTTGAGGCAAACTCAAGTCATGTTCTCTTAGCACATGTTGGTAGTAAGATTTTGAGAATGGCAGGAGAATGTATCACTTGTCTGGTAGTGATAGCCTGTGCCAATCTGGAGTCAAAATGTGAAAACTGAATTTGGAATTTCACCAAAAAAACCCGTCTAACTAGTAGGTTGTAACACTGAAAAGAATATAGTCCTGTTCATTTATGATAACTATATAAAGGTGAGAGAGTTCTTCGCTTCTTGTATAAAGAAATTGTATCATTCTTCTGCTCTGCACTGCTTTACCTTTTACCAAGAGAAGAAAAGAACAGAACTCTTCTTAATTTAAATAGCTGAAAGTGCTTTGAAGTTTGTTGTGGGTGTGGCTTATGATGTTTCTGTAGTAATGTAGTTATGACACTGGTGTTATTTGTAGATAATTAACCTTCATTTTAAACTGTCTGTAAAGTCTTTCCAAACAAAACTTGTAAGCAGACATCCTCTCTATACAAAAAGGATATGGTACAAACTTCAACAATTCAGATTGTTCACTATCACCCTGTTGGTATTTTTAGTATGAGCTGTGAGATTTAAGAATAATAGTAAATTTCTATTCTCTACTGCTTTTGGCTGCAGGTGCCTTGTCTTAATGTTGACTTTCTTAATAATGATATATTTTCATTATTAAGGACAACTAAATGAGCAGGTGTCCAGATTGTAATCACTTCTCACCTGAGCTGATAAAACCATAAGCAGTTTTGGAGCTAATTGCTCCCAGTGCCTGTTATCAATCTGGTCAAACCTTCAGTCCCTTTACCTGCTTGCTATCAGAACCACAGAACAGTTTTCCTGAATGCAGTTCTCATCTTGCCTGTGCCTACTTAACAGTTGCTCTGCATGTGATCTCATGACAGCCAAAGTGATTAATCAGTGTGGAGAATTCAGTTTGTTATTTATTTGTAGACTGTAAGCTATTAGTCTCTGTCACTTAGTGGAAGTTTCCTTGGAGCTTTTTCTGTTCACATCATCATCTATAGGTGTAAATCCACCACTTAATTTTACTTCTTGTAGTGTTTTCTCTGGTGTAAATGTTAAACAGAAAAGTTTTTTACCTCTTGCACAGCTGTCTTTGAGCCTGCTTTGTTGGAAGTCCATAGGCATCTAACTCAACATGGGGATTGTTAAACAGGTTATAATTACTGTGTTGCACCTTGGCCAGAAACCTTGCTTCCCAGTGGTGGTGTGGATATTTTGAAATCACCTGAATAATGTGAGCAGGCTGAAATCTCTCGATATGTGTCATAATTGAAAAGCTAAGAAATACTGTTTGTTTTTTTTTTATCATTGGAATACTATGTACTATCTTCTCTCCCACTGTTTTCAGTAACTTCTTACTCTGTGGTGTCTCTTACAGCAGACCACCTTGGTTTGACCTTCCTCCACCACCTTATTGTTCCGAATCTGAGTCCCTTAACCAGCCAGACCTTCCTCCTTACCGCTCTCGGTCAGCAAGCTTGGCCAGCACAGACACCCCCGTGGCAGAAAGTCCCGTGGGCACATCTGACAGCTGGACCAGAGATGTCCATGGCAGCACGGATGGGCACAGAACTCTTCTGGAGAGGACAGTGGATCAGAGTGATCCTCTGGTCAGCCACACTGCTGAAAGAGAAGTGTAACTGCTCCAGTGGATGGGATGGCCAGAAGGCATTTACTGTGTCTGTGTGGGTTAAGCTGCTGTGGCTGATAGGTTTCAGGGAGACATGTGCCTGAATGATGACTTGCTTTGAATTCACACTGAGTAAATGTTTGAATTCACCATTTTGGGCTCATCAAAGGCCCAAAATCAAAGAGTCACATCAGCCCTCCATAGTATTTCTGTGAGCAAGTTCTGGTTCAGACAAATAAGAGAAACACCAGTGCTTTGTCAAAAGAACTGATATGATGTATTTATTGGACTGCTTACTGTATATGAATGTATATATGTGTGTGTATAATATTTACAGAAGTTGCACATGAGAACTGTGCCAGAAGGATTCTTGTTTTCAGACTGCCTTCCATCCTGCCGACGAGGGAGCTGTTTCTTCTTGCTGTCTGGTGCCAACTGGTGGTTACTGAAGCACATGAGAGGCAGTCTTGTGCCCAATGCCAACCACCTGGCAGTGCCCAAATTGCAGAAAATCTCCTACTTGACTCATCTCTGTGTGGCCTGTGAAGGAGGTTTAAGCTTATGAGGATGCAACAACTCTAGCTAAGCAAGGTTTTCGGTTTTTTTCCCAGATGCCAGTATCTAGGCCAAATTTGCATAGGTTGTCTCACCAACACCACAAAGGTTGGCTTATCTGTCAAATGTCAAGGCTGAGTACAGAGGCACTGAAGCTTCTCAAAACAACAGAGCAAGACTTCTTTTCCCGTGTGGCATAACATTATTCCATGTGTTCCCTCTTAAAAAATCCCACAACAAAACAAACTCCCAAATTGTTCCAGCAAAGTTTTCAGCAGCAAAACTGGTGTGAAGCAAACACCCAGCACAGAAACTTTTCATGTCAGTGAGTAGTTTGTTGTAATTGCAAAATACCTGAAAGCAGGTCATGCAGTGAAAGATGTTGGGCTTGGTATCCCATCTACAGCATGTGTATGTACATGCCTGGATACACATGTGTAATACTGTGTGTAGGTATGTACACAGTGTATACTTGGGTTTAGTTCTGCTACACCTCAAGAACTCTAAACTGTCAACGTTTTGTTTTTGATGAACTCATTGGTTTTCACAGAGCTTGCATTATTCACATTCATTTGGTTGAAATTCTAACTTCTGCAGAAAACCAGAATTATTTATGTCTGTTCTGTCCTAAGTCTTATAAAGGCCTCATTGTGTTTCAGTGCACCTTGTTGAATCACCGTGTGAAAGCACCTCCAAGTAAGTAAAGTATTTAGAGTGGCAAGAGGGAAGAAGCTGTGAATTTAAATGCCACTCTTATGCTTAGTATACAGAAAACAGTGCAGTCTTTTCCTCTTGTCTGGGGGGAAATTTGCCTTAAAAAGTTATTTATATTTATTTGCCTATCCCACATTTCCCACTCTTTCTGTGTAAAAGAATGATGTCATTAAACAGACCTTGCTCTTTAAAGGAAGTGAAGGAAACTGACTGCCCACACCTTCTACTTTGTTCCTCCCCATCTTTGTAAGGTAGGTTCTTCAGCCCAAAGGTTACATGCTCAGAACCCAAGAATCTAGACTGTATGTAAGGGAGCAACTCAAATTCAGTCTCAGTCTGAATGTTTACGGAGGGGTTTAAGGTGGCATTGTTTTTTAAGTTGGTTGGTTGTTTGTTTTTTGTTTTCATTTCCAGCTCTAGAGTCTATTGCCACAATATGCAAGAGGCAGGGACCTCTTGCAGATAAATTTACAAGCACAGGTCATTCCAGGACTGAGGACATGGTGGGGAGTCCTGGAGAATTCTAATGCTGGTGGGCTGGGCTGACTTTGGAAGCAGATTAAGGGCAGCTTTTATTACAGGCTTAGGCAGCCTGTGGTGAAGTGCACTGGTGAAGATGCTCCTAGGTCCTTGCAAAGTAATGTACAAGAGTGGGTCAGATTTCATCCTTGCTGAGAACTCAAGCAATGTAATTATGCTGTCCTGCACAAAGCAGGATTTAGCTTTATTACTGACTGACCAAGGTCATAGGCAGACTGTTGTCATTGCAAAGAGCAGACAGCTATTCTTTATTCTACAGGTAGAGCAGACTCAGGTACCTGGATGAGTTAACAGTACAGATGGGTGCAGGGGCATCTCCTGTGATCACTAGACCCTGCTGTCCCCCTTGCCTTTTATTAAGGTTCTGCTTGGCCTCTGCAAGAGAGCTAAATATGCTGTAACAGAATCAACCTTAATGATTTTCTGTTGCAGTTTTAGAAACTTTTATATTGGTCTTGAAAACATACCATTGAAGAGTTTGTAGTAGTTTCATTGTAATTAGGTATCTTTTTAAAGTTGCCTAAAGCTGTATTAGTTAAAACTAAATCTTTGTGTCCATTATCTCTCAAACAAGCCTTCCACAGGGGATTGCATTTCATTGTGTGTATTCTAAGACACCAGAGGGTGTGCAGCCCAAATACTGTGCCTATGGCATCTGAAAAACGTTGTCTTGCCTTGCTAAGAAGTAGGAAAAGAGTGAATATAGCCTGTTTCTTCTGTCTTCTGTGTCAGTCACTGTCATATATGTACATATATATATTAAAAAAGATACTCTTTGAGGATGTATATATTCATGTAACTTTTGCATTAAGATAATCCATTTGGACTTTAAAAAAAAAAAAGGAGAAACATTCTTAGTGGTGTTATGTTTTCCCTTCAAGCTAAGGGTGTATTTATCTTTGTATAGGAATCTTCTAGTTTTTGAGAACACAACTTAAAAGGAGATTGTGCCTTTCTGTTTGAATTTGAATGTTGATTGGAAAAGTTGTTAACCTGCATTTCTGGGTGTTACATATCATTGTCTAGAGATCCAAAAAGAGCAACAAGTCTTGTCTTCCTCTTCATTGTTACTTATGGGGACCACTGAGCTTTAAGGACTACAGCAGTTCAGTATCTTGTTCCAAAAAGGCATGCTAGAACTTGAGGTGGCTTGTCTTACTGCAGTTTTCTGGTTTGCAGAACAGGTTTGCTAGGCTGCTTTCTTTGGAAATTGCTGTAGTATCACACAGAAATTGTTTATGATGTGTCACTTCTAGTGTGTTAATACAGCATTACGCTGCATTATTCAGTGGAATCTTTGGGAAAATGTGCTGATGAAATTAAATATTTCATTGAAAATCTTGCAGCTTGTAAGGCTGAAGTTAAATGTTCATCCAATACGACGTGGTAGGGTTTCTTTTCAGTAACAGGTAGAATTGGAATTGATCATCCTATTATATGCAATTGTTCTTGACCTTTTGGTTTGATGTTAGTCATCCAAAAGCTTTCCTTTCTACTTAGTTTTTAAACAAATGGATGTTATTTCATAGACTCATTCTTACAAAAGTAAAATCAATTAAAGTTATCTTCAAGAGCTAAATTCTGTTTCCACATCTGTACTGAATGGTGAGAACTGTATTGAGTAGTTCTCAGTGCAGCTATTCATACATTTGAACAAAACAGTTTGAAGAACTCTACTTAAAGTAAATGAAGGCATGTTGGAAAGAAGGTCATTTAAAAATAAACAAAATTCAGAGCTGCAAGTGTCTGTAACCTCTGCTGAAATCAGAGTACTGTGTATTTAAAATGAAGCCGTTAGTGATTCTGCTAGATAGTAATCTGAAGTTCCTTGTAAGGCAAATTACCATTTACCTCTCTGGTTTTGGAAATGGAAAACTGGCACTAATGCTCTTAAGAAAGCCTTGAATAATTTTCTTGGCTCTTGTCTACAGTGACATACACAAAAACACTGACTGCTTTACAATTTTTAAATAACTCTGCATTCCTTCTTCCTACTTTTAAGCCAAATCAGTTTTATTTATGCCACTTCACTTTGATACAGCTAATAGGGCCCTTGTGATAGATTTAAAAACTAAGTGGAGGAAAGAGATGACTCTCACTTTAATTAATGCTGTAGCTTGTTAATCTTGTGCTCTTTACTTTTAGACATCTTAGCAAAGACAAATGGTTCTGGTAGATAAGAAAAACTATTAACGATGAAAAGGATGGAGGGACACTGATTCTGGTTTTTAATGAATATTTAAAATTGTATAGATGAAGAAAAAATTTAATGCTGTGTTTTTAATGTGGTGATCAAATGACAAGTACTGTTTTTAACTGTTGCTTATTGGAAGCTACTTTGCCTCTGATGCCTGGAATTAAAACGGTAAGACAAGGGCTTTTCTTGCAGTTCTTACTAGATCTGCGATATTTTTTTATTAACACAAGGTTATATTACACCCATGGACTAAAATAATGGACTGCAGGAAAAATTTCAATACTGTGCTGGATTCTGCCTGAATGTATCCCAGTACAGGACTGTGGCCTTCATTTGTATTTTTTTTTTCCTGATTTGAGGAGTTTTGTCAATCTGAAATGGAGAAGTTACTTAAATGCTTTAACGGAGGTTGTATGTTGAAACCAACCTTGTCTTAAACTTTTGTAAACTGGAATCTTCAAAAATGTATTCTGTATTCCTGAATAAAATTGGTGTTTTAATACTGTTCACCAGTGAGCATGTCCCCTGTCTCATAAAGTCTCAGTTGTTCTAGTTTTATAGCCTCCTACATGAGGCTTCTTATGAACTTTTTTGCATTCCATGTTAAGTTCTGTTAACTCTGTGGGTTTTAAATATATTTTTTAAACAAAGCAATATTGGAAACTCACATGTATCTATGTGTATAAAGATCTACTGATCCATATGTCTCCATATTTATACAAATGAAAATTGCTTAATGTCATCATTTCTCATTTTGCTGTCCCATTTGTGCTATCAAGGACGAGGTGTCTGAACCAGTTTTCTTGTCTGCTTTGTTGCACAGCTCTAGAGACACAGCAGAGGTTGATGCTCTGTGCTGGCTGCTGTATCTGGATTTACCAACAGAGCTCAGGGGCTGTCAGCATTGGCCTCTACCTCCCTCTTTCTGCCTGCCACTTGCCCACCACTCATGTTCCCAGCACAATGTCCCCAGTGTTTGTCTCCAGCTCTGTGAGCCACATTCAGGTGCAGATGCTCCGTGGAGTCTGGTTGTGCTCCTGAGTCAGGACTCTGCCCCTGGCAGATGCCTTGTGCAGGCACCACCACCATCAGGGGAACTATCCAGGCCCACTTCTTGTCAAAGTCCTGTCACTCAAAGGATTTCTGTAAGAAAAACCCCCATGATATAAAATTATTTTCCCAGACTAAGGAAAACTAATTCAAGTGTTATATCTAAGTAGTTGAATCTCTGTAAGTATACAGAAGTTGACATATTCCACTTCCATGATTCTTCTCCACTTGCTACCTTCACAAAGGCATGCCAGTTTTACTGTTTTCCTCATTAATTAAATCACATGCCCTGACTAAGATTCTCAGATGGAAGTCTTTGTTTGGCGCTGGCAAACTGCCCCAAAATAGCTGTGGATGCAGAATTCACACCAGCGGCACAAGGGACATGGAGCTCTTGAAGCTGCCACAATGGGCTCTCTGCAGGGGAGGGAATACTGGGGTCTCACAGCTGGCTCGTTCAGTCACATCTCAGCAAGAGCTGTGCTTGAGAAATGTTGATAATAAATACCATACTCTCCAGCTAAGCTCCCTAATTAATCTTTTTATTCTCTCTGCTTTGATTTGTTTAAAGATCCTAATTTTTACACCTTAAAAATTAAATAGGCAGCAATGATTTCTGAGTGCAACATCTTTTCTTGCTGGTTTGCCAGCAGTCTGTTAATCAGTCAGCCTCACTTATCTGTTGGAGAGAGAACTAAGCAGGTTATGCTGCTTGGGGAGCTGTAGTCCAAAATGATGTGCTGTTATTAATTGAAGCAAAGACATCTTCATGTGGAAATTCACTGCTCTTTGCTTTTCAAAGCAAAGTTGAGGGTCTGCATATTGCCTAAAGCACTTTGGAAAAGTACTGGATGGATCTCTCTAGGGAATTAACTTTTCTGTTTATCTGTCAAACATACTTCGAACAGATAAATTGAAACATGATTCTCTGCTCCCCAAAATCCCAGTAGCATTCCTTACAGCCTTTTTGCAGAGACCACTGGAGAAGAATAGGTAGAGCAGTTTTGGGGCTGATCTGACCCTTAGCATTTCTGTGGGAATGGGGACAAAGTGTTTCAGTAGAGGTGCAGTTGCTTCGATGCTGGATACTGTGCAGAAGACCCCCATTCACTGAGAATTGATTTGGGACCATCACTTCCCAACAGCCACTGTGGCTTTTCTTTTTTTTTCCTAGTTTCTTCTTACCTAAGGTTAATTCCTATCAGTTACCCTGAGGTAAAACCTTTCATCTCTCATTATTTGATACCACAGCCTGTAACTCCTTCAGATTTAAACCAGTGTCATTTTTCAGCACAAAAGCGCAGTGACCTTCAC